TCCATTGAGTAGCATCCATAACAATCCATGCGCTATGCACTGTGCTGTTTATTGTCTATATGTAGGAAGAGACAGTGAATGAATAAATGAGTTACTTTGATTTTGTAAGCACAGAGGCAATTTTGGCTCAAAGGTGTTGTATTAATCATCAAACCTGGTGTTCCGCAAACGTGGAGGTGGAAGACAGACCATTTTGGTCAACAGGCAACTAATCAAGAAAAAAAAAAAGAAAGAAAGAAAGAAAGAAAGAAAGAAAGAAAAACACACACACACACACTGAACAGCTGATCTGCCTCTCCCTAAAGAGATTATCGACGAAAAAAACACGAGGCTTGAATGCGTATTGACCAACAAGTGACAAAGTCTATTTCATGGTGGAACTGCACGATGTGTCTGACAAATCAGTCCATACCATCATATGCCTCTCAAACTTTATTCATTAGTTGGGCCTTACCTTATAGACATTTTCCGTCAAGCGGTTAACCTCGTCGGTGCGAGACATCGTGAAATCTTCAGCCAGGACCATAAACGTTGTCTTCTGTTTGAAACGTGTATCCGCGTAAAAAGGAGAAATGTGCAAATACACGCGCTTGACCTAACAATAGGCAAGGCACTCGCCCACGAGAGAGCGAGACGATGGTGCGCTCCCGAAACCCTCCTCCAACTAAACACACCTTTCCTCTCCACAGCTGACAGTCCGCTGCCGCCTTCACTGACTCCCGGGGAGCGCAGCCTGAAGCGCAGCAGTGTTCACAAATAAGATCAGAAATGCAATCTCACACACACACATTACATGTGTCGTTTATTTTATAGGTTACACGGCGCACGAGGCCGGTAAGTATTTAGTTAACTAAATAATGTTAAAATTTAAAGAACCACTTGCACACTCAAATCCCAATGTGCAACATTTCCTACAGCACGAGAATGCAGCACAGTCTTGTTAAAGTGCAGGTTGCGGTATGTTATATTTGTATTTATATCATAACTCTGTCAATTGGGCTCCACCATTCCGACAATATATGGAAAGAAATATGTTTCACTACAAAAAAAATATCAATAGTCTACTTAAATACTGTTTTTGTCCTAAGGGGGGGAAACCTGTCATTACATACAGGTAATTGAATTGACATTTGTGTGGTGATAATCGTAAAAGGACTGAGCCGATAGAATTAGGCAGATAAATTTCATATATAGATAAAGTCACCCTGTCGTTTTGTTTCTAGAAAAAAAATAGCCCATTTCAAACAAAAAAATAAAACCAGTTTTCCCCTAATGCATCATCTGAGTGAATAGAAGAATTATTGTTCTAAGTGAAACCAAAAGCCATAACAAACAGATTACAGTAATGCACCTTGACCCCCCCCATCTCACTTAAGCTTCAGAGGAGCAATTTGGTACATCTTAGTTGTTTTCTGTCCATTACAGCCTCTCTGCACACTGCTCTCATCTGAGAAGCTGATAAAACAATGTGTCACCATGGAGTTTCTCTTATTGCACATTACAAAATAATCTTTTATGTATATAACTGCATTATGTAAGACTGTAAGCCAGTCATAGTCTGACTGTTTTCAGTAATATCATAGGTGATGTTTTCCTCACAGTGGATAATTTGTGTTAGCTTCATTGTACATGCTAATTAGAGTCATGGTGCCCACTTAGTGTAGGATTGTTAAAGCTGTATTGGCTTTCTTGTCTAAACATCTCCCACATACCAACAACATGAGCTTTTTACTTTCTGTCAAAAAAGGTACACACTTCACAGGATAGGATGTGAATGAAGACACCTGTTTGTGAACTGTAGAGTCAACGCTAGCAAGGAGTGCCCCCTTCTGGAGAATACACAAACTGAAATGGTAAACAAAACACTATGACAAACTACGATTCTGTGAGAGCCATGTGATCTTATGTGTCTAAACACATCAGTTTGTGAAAGAAAGCAATACCAAGACAGCACCTGTTGCCACAGCTCAATTTAATATGTAAAACCACTTAATTTAATGTGTAAAACATTTAAAAATTATTTCTGTCATTCTGTAATGCCTTAACCACTGAAGTTACAGTGTGCCATTGCTTTGAGAAACCCAAGACAGACAGAACATTTCCCTTGCTTTATGAAGACACCTCAGGGGAGCAAAGCATCACATCAGACACAGTGCTGATCCTGTAAAATGTGATAATAATGATGTCTGCAGTTCCCACTTTCACCTACTAACAATTAAAGAAATACTAAAATAAACAGGATGCCCACCAGTACACATACAACCATGTATCTGGAGCTCAGTGTTGAAAATCGGCCTCAAATTCATTCTGTTAGGCTGCCAACATCTCTCTGTCTGGCTTGCTCTTTGACTCTCTCCTCTCTAAAACACACAGTGAAAAAAGGAAATGTAATCAATACAGTATAAGATACAAATACATCAGTTGTGTACAGAATCCTTTGCAGTGTGAACAAATAAACAAAAGATACCTGGTGCAGCTTTAGCTGCCTCTGGGAATTCTGGCAATGGCTCACTGGGGATTTCTGGAAGTGCTACATCTTCTCCCTGGCACATAAATAAAGATAAGGCAACCTACTGTATGTGGAGAAGCTCAAAAAATATTCAGCTGTCAAGATAAAAACTTATTTTACTTCCCCAAAAACTGCAATTTTTGAGATGCAGATTTGTCATGAGGCAATACCTGCCAAGCCAAGGATTTGTGTTTATTCTTAAAAATCACAAATTTGCCTCAACGTGCTTCACAGTCTATACGATACCATCTATCCTATCCTGACTGTATATCTATCCATACTGTATATACTGCTGTACTGAGCTCAGTGGTTACCTTCAAATGTAATTAACACTCCAAATGAACTCATAATATTTTGATGTATTATGTATAAATAAATACAGCAGCATTTTCATTGCAACACACTTTCTATGTATTATTTGTATAACTGGATTGAATTCAGCCTCAGAATGGAATATAGTAATTTGTGCAGTGTGATGTGAGGGTTGAGTGTGTGTGTGTGTCATTTGGAACAATAATTAGATTAGAAAAGAAGAAGAATCTAGTAAAGTTATAATTATTCTGAATCAACCAAAATCATATTCAGAACTGTTTCAACTACAACCTGTTATTACATGAAAATAAAGCTCTCTATTAATTCAAATTTCTTCCAATTTGATTAAAACAATTTTCCCTCCCCAAGGGACAGATATAAAAAATGTGAGGTCAAAATACTAACATGCAGTCCCACTTGATTCAAGGCAGAATCTCAACTGTAACCACAGAAAGGCTCCAGGGGAAGAGCCAAGTGGCTGAAGCCTGCAGTTACACCAGGCCTCAGTGTGCGCCGCTATAAATGTGAATTTGAGCATTACAAGAAAAAAGAATGCATGCTTAGCAATTTTTCACTGCATTAATATAGGTTAAATATGCAGCTTTACACCCACCTGAGTGATAGCTTCCAACTCTGCTAAAACAGCAACCTCGTCCTCCTGCGTCAGGGCTCCAGCAAGCATTTCATCTATTTTCTGCAGGAGCACAAAATGTGTTAGTTGACAGCTCTGGTTTTGTTGCCCAAGTACAGTGGGTACGGAAAGTATTCAGACCCCCTTAAATTTTTCACTCTTTGTTATATTGCAGCCATATGCTAAAATCATTTAAGTTCATTTTTTTCCTCATTAATGTACACACAGCACCCCATATTGACAGAAAAACACAGAATTTTTGACATTTTTGCAGATTTATTAAAAAAGAAAAACTGAAATATCACATGGTCATAAGTATTCAGACTCTTTGCTCAGTATTTAGTAGAAGCACCCTTTTGAGCTAATACAGCCATGAGTCTTTTTGGGAATGATGCAACAAGTTTTTCACACCTGCATTTGGGGATCCTCTGCCATTCCTCCTTGCAGATCCTCTCCAGTTCTGTCAGGTTGGATGGTAAACGTTGGTGGACAGCCATTTTCAGGTTTCTCCAGAGATGCTCAATTGGGTTTAAGTCAGGGCTCTGGCTGGGCCATTCAAGAACAGTCACTGAGTTGTTGTGAAGCCACTCTTTCGTTATTTTAGCTGTGTGCTTAGGGTCATTGTCTTGTTTGAAGGTGAACCTTCGGCCCAGTCTGAGGTCCTGAGCACTCTGGAGAAGGTTTTCGTCCAGGATATCCCTGTACTTGGCCGCATTCATCCTTCCCTCGATTGCAACCAGTCGTCCTGTCCCTGCAGCTGAAAAACACCCCTATAGCATGATGCTGCCACCACCATGCTTCACTGTTGGGACTGTATTGGACAGGTGATGAGCAGTGCCTGGTTTTCTCCACACATACCGCTTAGCATTAAGGCCAAAAAGTTCTATCTTGGTCTCATCAGACCAGAGAATTTTATTTCTCACCATCTTGGAGTCCTTCAGGTGTTTTTTAGCAAACTCCATGTGGGCTTTCATGTGTCTTGTGCTGAGGAAAGGCTTCAGTCGGGCCACTCTGCCATAAAGCCCCGACTGGTAGAGGGTTGCAGTGATGGTTGACTTTCTACAACTTTCTCCCATCTCCCGACTGCATCTCTGGAGCTCAGCCACAGTCATCTTTGGGTTCTTCTGTACCTCTCTCACCAAGGCTCTTCTCCCCTGATAGCTCAGTTTGGCCGGACGGCCAGCTCTAGGAAGGGTTCTGGTCGTCCCAAATGTCTTCCATTTAAGGATTATGGAGGCCACTGTGCTCTTAGGCACCTTAAGTGCAGCAGAAATTTTTTTTTGTAACCTTGGCCAGATCTGTGCCTTGCCACAATTGTGTCTCTGAGCTCTTCAGGCAGTTCCTTTGACCTCATGATTCTCATTTGCTCTGACATGCACTGTGAGCTGTAGGGTCTTATATAGACAGGTGTGTGGCTTTCCTAATCACGTCCAATCAGTATAATCAAACACAGCTGGACTCAAATGAAGGTGTAGAACCATCTCAGGGATGATCAGAAGAAATGGACAGCACCTAAGTTAAATATATGAGTGTCACAGCAAAGGGTCTGAATACTTATGATCATGTGATATTTCAGTTGTTCTTTTTTAATAAATCTGCAAAAATGTCAAAAATTCTGTGTTTTTCTGTCAATATGGGGTGCTGTGTGTACATTAATGAGGAAAAAAATGGACTTAAATGATTTTAGCATATGGCTGCAATAACAAAGAGTGAAGAATTTAAGGGGGTCTGAATACTTTCCGTACCCACTGTATAAACATGGGCATACATATAATCTACTGAGGACAAACATGAGCTTACGGATGTCTAGAAAAGTTGTAGTTTAAGTAGCATGCATCCTTTAAACATATACATGTCCAGTATATATGAAGAAAGTTACTAGTTAAATAGAAAATAGCACCATTTATTAAAAACAGTACTTGGTCACTACTTATAGTAAAGCTTTAATGAATCTGAATTGATTTTAGGCTTATACACAGCATTAGAAATCACTCTGTGCAGGTGTATTTCACAAACAGCAAGCAAACGTTTACCCTCTGATATTCAACTGATTCCTGGGTCTCGTCCAGGATTCTCTCCACATCTTCTACTGACATGATCTGTTAGAAATAAGGAACAGAAAGACACATCCATCCATCCATTTTCCTCCGCTTATCCAGGACCGGGTTGCAGGGGCAGCAGTCTAAGCAAAGATGCCCAGACTTCCCTCTCTCCAGACACTTCCTCCAGCTCCTCTGGGGGAAT